TCTTTCTCGACTAGCATTTTGAATATGAGACAGTGAGTTATTGGTTTCTAGTAGCCATGACAGTCTTGTCGTGATTATTTTATCTAGGAGCTTACCAATACAATTAACAAGGCTAATTGGGCGGAAGTCGCTTGGGTTTTGGAGGTTTGCCCTTTCTTTGGAATTAGGGTGATAATAGCAAATTTGCATACTTTTGGAAGATATCAGGAAAGCTTGTTCTAAAAGTTTTGTGGATGCGTGTTTAAGAACTATGTTGGAAATTTATCCTCCCCGGATGCGCTGTTTTTTTAATTTGCGGTAGTGTATTATAATTTCGGGAATAGTGATTGGCGTCAAAATATCTGTTGAGAGACTGTGTGCCTTACTAAAGGGGATATTTATCGGGAAGGTTGTTAAGAAAACATTTGGATTATCAGCGATGAAATCGTTAATTTTGTTAAAGTGGATATGGTCGAAATTGTTTTTGTGAAGAGTGACAAAGGTGTTGGAGAAATAGCGTGAAAATAAATTGGCTTTTTGAGCATCTTTTGAGGCGGTTATATTTTCGTAAGTCATGCTACCGAATTCATTGGTTTCTCGGCATATACTTTTTAAAAGTTTTCCAAAATAGGGTTGGCTCGTCTAGTCTATTACAAAAACTATTCCAGTTTGTCGTTTGTTGTTGCCTGACAAGTCTTCTGCTCACAAGGATTTTTCAGAGTATTTTGAGTCTGAACAGAAACAAGTTAAAACTGGAATATCCTTTGCTGGCCGAACTGTGATGTCAACTAAAACTGATAGCTGGCCAATGCTTGTCATGGGACAGAGGTCACGAGGTAACACCTTTCACTGGATAAAGAAAGCAAGCTAACGTTTGAAATCCAGACACATTTTCTTAGTTCAGTTCTACTTGGCTTTCATTTTGACAAGTTCGGCTGAGATTCATCTTGAGAAAATATAAACTGGTGAGATATTCACTGATCCAATAGCTGCGATCGTTCACTTGTCTATGTAGGTACACACACTGTTCTTTATGTTGTGGCTAAATGAACATCGTTTTCATTGTCATTTAAATGTGCCCAATTTATTTATTTCTCATGCAATTTGAAATTCAGTCAAGTTCTCACCTAAGAACACTCCCCTTATTTCTTGAATCTGTTGTTATTAACGGGTTTACCTGTCGGGAAATCGTTTTTTTTAAACTGAAAATACCACAAGCGCAGATACCCAACTGTGTAGCTTTATGCTAAAACTAAAACAATGAGTACCGAATCATTAATTGATGTGTACCATTACTTTGATTCAATCATTCTACATTAAATCAGCCATACTGAGACTTGGTAATTAGATGTAATAAACGTACTTTTCCAATCTATACTATAATGCCGTTTCATATCAAGCTGACTCAAATTTTATGTAAAAGGCTCAAAGTAAAAATAATTTCTATAGGATTACTCATGACTTTGGCTTCTATATTAAGGCCTCAAAGCCGAAACGTCTTCCAATTTGTTAGAAACAGGCAGGTGCGGTCCAATAAAGTTTAATTCAAAACTCTGCTATGTCTATACTTCTTGAAATACTTTTCTAACGTTGTTCTTTCGTTGGGCAGGTTCTTCTAAATTATTTGGTGAAAACTATTCGAAGTCCAGTCCACGTAATGATAACATATTAGTTTGTTTCTTCCTTAACATTTCTATAAGCTGTCTTCACTGTTGTAACTTGTAAGCTTAGGTTTACAAATGTTGTTCAAACGTATACACCTTGCTAATGGTACTATAAATAAGGTAAAAAAAATAAAATTACTTGTGCTGTTTAACAGCTAATTGATTGAGTCACTGAGTATATGTAATAACTGACACTGATGAAAATATTTCTATAAAACAAAATATTTCACTGAATAACTGGCACTTTGCCAACTGCAAAACAGAACTACTCAATGCTTCACTAATTTACTGCTAGCTTATTAATTTGATTGTCCCAAGCGTATTTATATGTGATGTCTCATCTCTAGATGTTCGTCCGCCAGTGGCACAGCGGTATGTTTGCGGACTTACAACACTCATTACTCATTTTGAAAGATAGACTAGAGGGAAGGCAGCTAATTAATACCAACAACTGCCAACGCATGGAACATCCTTTAGCAATAAATAGCCGGATTTACCAGTCTTTTTCTAGATCGTTCTGGTGCTTCAAGTTGATCCATATTCCTTTGTTTTCCAATGACATTAAGTACAAGAGATATCCCCAAGGGTGGATTTAGGTTAGATGAGGCCTGGGCCAGTAGAATAGATTTGAACACCTCTTTATGATCTGAATGTATGATTAAGCACTAGTTGTGTTAAAAAGTTGTTAATTCATAACTTACTAAAGAAACTTGCATTCAAACAAACCAATCGTATTGGGGGACATCAGAAATTGTATTTTTTTCCACTTTCAGCAGTAATTTTTATATATACAGTGCTACCTCTACAGTCTGCATATGTCTGTTCCTGCCATGTGAGGATAGTTGAGTTCCCCCTCTCCTGAGACCTATGTACCATATAATTACTGTCCGTAATACATTCAAATTAGGAATAAATACATTAGCAATTATATTAAAAAGAATAATAATAATACAATATAACATAAATAAAAAGTAGTTTAATAAAATTTTGAATGTAAGTCACTAAAACCTCGTGACATGCGCAGTAAATGATGCCCAGTCAGATAGGGATATTCTGTGGTGGAAAGAGCTATTATATACCATTTATAAACGCGATCAATTTTTGGTATTATTAAATTACCTACGAAATGCAAAAACAAAAGCAAAATGTAGTTCTGATACATTGTGTTCCACCGCGACTTTATATCAGCTATAATTGTCACGTGATTTGCTGATTTGTAAATTGAAAATCGTTTTAATATAACATACTTAACTCTCTGTATTACAGTGACAATCTGAAATAGACATCTCAATCTTAGATAGCTCGAGACCCTTTCATTAGGCAAAACAACTATCTGTTGGACAACGTGCCCGAATAATGCGAGATGCTCAACGTAATATTCACAATGGAAAAAAAAAATTCAATGTAAAAACACTAGGGGTGAACAGATATCTTAATAAAGTCAATTATAACAATAGGCGAAAGATCAAATTATTTCATCACAAAACATTGAATATTTCCTGCCTTCCTGGCAACTTATGAAGTTGTATAAGGTGTTTTTCGACTGTATAAGTTATTAGGTATACCGTATATTTAAGATGAATAGGCCCTTTTCACCCAATGGATTCTCATTTGCCGACCAGATAAACGAACAATCTAAATTTAGAGTTAATGTAATTTGAAATTTCATCGTGTTGGTACTGATGAT